GAGAAATTAGAATCTCATCATCAATGAATTTGCGTCGACGATAAAGCTCCTGCAAGGGGTGACATAAATAGATGATAAGAAAACTCCTATGAGGGAAAATATAAAGATTTTTAAAGAGAGAAAATGGAGGTTGAAAGTTTTTGGAGAGAGGAAAAAAAAAGTGTATGAGTTTTAGGAAAGAAAAAATAAAATTTTTTAGAGAGAGAAATGAAAGCTTTTTAGCAGATAACAATGGTGATGGATATAATTTTTTTTTTTATACACAAAAATTACTTAAATTGGAAAATGGGTAAGATTGTAAGAGGGGGGCGGGGGTTGTAGGTAACCCTACCTACTGGAGGGTGTAGGCATTAACTATTCAAACGGGCCCAAATTATTTTAATTAAAAAAAATCTAAAACTAAGCACTCAATATTCCTTAATTCTCAACAGTTCCCAAAATAAATTAAACACATCATTCCCTTTATTTTCAGTCCGGATAATTTTTTATAATTAAATTCATTGAATAATCTACAAATTTATTTACTACGTATCTCTTTTAGTTTTTCCAAAGCCTACACAAATTCAAAGTAACTCCCTAATAAATATGCTAATATATCTCTTAATTTTTTTTTTTTTTTGGACAACGGTTCAAAGGGAGGATAGCTCCCAACTGACTCGACACTACAACGAGAAAATTTAAACCTCTTAACCAAACTAATACAAGAACTAAAGGGGGATTGGGGTTACAAATGCTATGAACTGCTAAGCAATGCAAATAAGGGGGATGAGAAGATCCATCGCTAGAACTAGTCCTAAGCTCTTCCAACCTTGTTCCCTTGCGCTTCTTGATCCTGCAAAAACAATAATGGGGATACCTTTTACCTTTCTTGTTCTTCACCCTTGATCTGATTGGTCTTCCATATTTTCTTGACATGGCAGAGAACTTGAAGGTAGAGAGTGGTGGAGAGAGATGCACTTGGTCGTATTCAACTATCATGGGCTCTTCGTCGTTAGAGCCTACATATTCCACTTCATCGATATCAGTGGTAGTTAAATATCTTGCAGGTAACTCGATCCCCTCCTCAATAATCGAGCCCTCATTGCTGCTAGAAGTTAGGCTAGTAGGTATATGATCATCCAACTTCTCAACAACAGCAGTGTTAGGCTTGGGCGATCCGACAATTTGGCTGACCTCGGCAGCATCCAGGGGTCGCTTGGCCTTTTTCCTTTGGCCCTTTCTGTTACGACACCTCTCTTGAGGATCCAACCATCCTAGTTGGTCTTTTCCTTTTCCTTATGAGGTTCAGGATGCCCATTATAGGTGGTCTTTTCCTTCAGTCGTACAGTCATCCATGATACAACAGAATGCTTAAAGAAACTCAAGGTTTTCCCTTGTCTGAGATTTGAATAAGATAAATCGGAAATCTTAAGGGACTGATTATTTCTCGATCCATTGAGGAATATATGTGATTTCCTCGGTCCCTTATCCATATCATGTCTAAAATCCTGGTTGTTCGGAGAGCTAGTAGCATCATCGTCCCCCTTTTTCGAAAGGGTAAGGACATAGGATGTAGTAATAAGGCTCTCTACCATCATCTCATTAGTAGCATCCATGGTGGGTAAGGCTGTAATATCACCCTAAGCATCGCTACTAGGAAACCCGAAAGGGTCTAGACTGACAGAGGGGTTGTTAATCTTCTTCTTTTTGTTGAAAATGATATGGGGTACACTAGTAGAAAAAAGCAATTGGGAAGCGGTTCAAACCCCCTAATGGTGAGTGGTTTTGAACCGCTTGGGCTTGGGGGGCATCCCATTGCCCCTTTAAACGGGGAGCGGTTTGAACAGCTTCCCATTATGCGTAAAAAAATAATTTTTTCTTTTTATTTTTTTCTTAAATTGAAATACAAACAATTAACATAAGTCTAAACATTATTTCTATTAATCATTTGATGTAATATTACATTTTCATAAAAAAATAAAAAAAAAAATTAACAATAAATTCAATAAAAATTGTTGCTGTTGCTGCTCTTGTTCAACCAATAGACCCCAGCCACGCGCACCACCAGCCCTCAACCCTCAGCCACGCGCACCATCAGCCTTCAGCCACCAGCTCCCTTTTACGACCACCAAACAAAAAAAAACCCACCTCACCCACCACGACCCTCACCAAAACCCCTACCCAAACCAATACAACCACACATCACCATAAAATTAAAAAAAAAATCTCAAACTAAATAAAAGAAAGAAAAAAGGGAACATACCTTGAATTCCACCAAAACCCCGAAATTAGCTTGAATTTGGGTTTTAATGGTCAAATATTTGACCATGAAAACTCTAGATCAGAGTTTTCATGGTCGAATTTGACATGAAAAACCTGTAGTTTATTTTTTAAATTAAAACCCTAGAATTCCATGGTCGAATTCTATAAACAATACCAATTTCGTGAGAAAGAAAGAACAAAGAGAAAGAAGAGGGGAGAAAAGAATGGTGGTGTGAGAAAGAAGACAAGACAAAGAGAAAAGGACACAGAAGAGAGAAAGAGATCGAAGAGGAAAAGGAAAGAGAAGGAGAACAAGAGAGATGAAAGAGGAGAGAGAGAGAGAACCGAAAGAGAAAGGAAAGAAAGAGGAGAGAGAAAGGGGAAATGAAGGGAGAAGAGGCTAAGGGGGTGGGCGGCTACTCGGTTAGCTATTAGTATTGTTAGGGTTCTTTTTTTAAAGAGAATGGGTAGCGATTCAATGTTCAAACCGCTTCCAATTACAATATTTGGGAGCGATTCACTCATAACCGCTCCCCATTTGTATGTTTTACTTTTTTTTTGGGTGGGTTTTTGGAAGCGGAATTCAATAACCGCTTCCCATTTAGGGCTTCCTAATTGCTTTTTTCTACTAGTGGTAATTCGGATTCCTCAGTATCCCTCTTTCCCTTGATCTTGCTAGCTTGTCTTCTCAACCCCTCCACCTTCTCCATCTCGTGAAGGATGTCCTGATTTTTAGGCTCATTCTTGGTTGCTTTCCCAAGATCTTCATGGGCCTCTTCGAGCTGATAAAGCTTGATTTTGGCTAAAGCTCTCTAGTAATGGGTTTTAGTATTGTTAGCATTAAGCATAATGACTAATGAACAGAGTTCCCTAGTCTATTTGAAATCCCGGACTTTTAGGGCGCAAGCTACGAGGTTTAACTTAAGGGATATGGGAAGATTCCATAAAAAGGCACAATCATCTTCATCTCTTGGTAGACAAAAGCACAAACCCTTATGCTTCTCAAGTTTGAAAGGGATGATGGAACAGCCGGCTCCCTACGGGGAGACCAAAAGACGGCTAGGGAGTGCTATCTCTCTGACGTCTAACCCACTGTGGTCGCATCCGGCCCCAGTGGAGAAACTATAGACCTTGACAAAGTCAAGGAAGCCGCGCCTGCTCCCATACCAGGCGGCAAAAAGAGAAAGGCCGACCAGTTGGTGGCCGTGAAAAAAGAAAAGCAATAGCAATCACTGACCGGAGAACGGCTGGATGAACTCCGTCCCCAGCCGACTGGTGAGCACATTGATATTATTCTGGATGATACACGTCCGGAGCGAACTGTTAAGGTGGGGACAGCTGCTTTTGCTAAATTGGGTGCAGACCTGCACAACCTATTGAAAGAGTTCAAAGACATCTTTGCCTTTGAAGTGGACAAGATGCCAGGTATCAGCCCGGATCTAGCCGTCCACAAACTTGCCGTGGATCCAAAAAAGAAGCCGATTAGGCAAAAGAAGAGGAACCATGGTGAAGAAGGAAGCCAGGCGGCAGCCGCCGAAGTGAAAAAACAGTTGGATGCTTGGGTACGGGCTTTTTTATGTGTCCTATGGGAGAGTTACAACACCAAGACTGAACTCTGGACGCATGTACCTACAAAACAACGGAGACTCCGGGGGGAGGGAGCTCCGCCTCCGACGATCAAGTTAGAACGTGTTCGGATGTAAAAAGTGCGGAATGTAAAAGGGGATCAGGCTCCTCTTAGGAGAGGAGTGATCATCCGGCTATCTTAGACAGCCTCGAAATCCGAGCCTTAGCTCTCAAGAAGTGCAATTAAAGCTGGAGTTTTTGCTCAGTAATTAATGTACACGTGTGTTTAATAATTTCTCAATCGCGTTCCCCAAGGGGGAACATCTCCCTTTTATAGGGTCTCACGATGTGAGCAAGTCCTGGTTTTACGGAAAACCTAGGCTTGACTGGGCTTTCTTGGCGTATGGGCCTTGGAAGGATGCTTGCCCAAGTTGGCACTCTGTCTGCCACATGTCGTGCTCTGATTGGTCAACTTGGGACTCATCACCGAGTGACACGTGGCAGACTCTAGTTGGTCCACGTGGATGACACGTGGCAGGGTTTCATTGGTCCACGTGGCAGAGATAAATCCCCTAATCATTTGCCCCTCACAAGGGTGACGTGGCTTGCCACGTGGCGCCTGTGACAGGTGTCACCTGCCAATTGGTCAACGGTTTTTACCGTTTTTTTTTCAAGGTGACCCTTGAAATTACCCCCCTATAAAAAGGGCATATCCCAATCATTATTTGAATATTTCCTAAAAAATTCAGAAAGAGACCGGACGTAGACCTTGTCATTTTCTGGGGGAACGATTGCCGCTTGCTTTCCGACCACCTATTCCTACAGTCGCTAGACTTTTCAAGCACCTTCAACCTTTCAAATCAAAGGTAGCCGCCTGTATTCTGTGCTACTTTTTCTTTTTTGTTTTCCTTTTTGAAAATGGTATCCCAAAAGCACACGGCACGGCCTAGTGATCAGCCGGTCACCAGGGACGGCTGAATTTAGAACTAGAAGTGTCGACTGCCCCTTGCTGGACCACCCTTTGCGAACTTCTCTAAGTCCGACTATCACTACTACATTTTTTTACCAAATGTAACGGCCTAATAAAGGCTAATGCAACGGTATTTCAATTGCCGTTGCAATAGAGTAGGCTATTGCCACGGATTTAACACTAATGTTCTTAGAGGTAGAGCTATTGCCACGGCTTTAAAAGAGCCGTTGCAATAGCCTAACTATTTAAAAAAAAAAATGAGAGCTATTGCAACGGTATGTGTTGTATTATGAAAAATTTAGAAGCGCGCATTTCTTCCCTCTATTTTTTTCACCTAATATTTGAACAATACTTCTCTTTAATTTGCTTCCCTCTATTCACAATTCTCAAGTACAGTACCATTTTCCCCCTTTTCTCCAATTTTCCCCATTCTCACCTTAATTGATTATAGAGGACCATTTTCACAGTAGATGAGAAGGAGTACGTTTTTGTTGTAGTTGTTGCATCTGATTTAAAACCCGGACCTCAAAACTACCAACAATGGCGCAACCACCGCCTGCACCACCACCGCGCTCATATACCAACCTCTTCGGCGACCCAATCTACGATTTAACCCCTTTATGTTTCAAGAACAACCTCTTTCTCCCTCCTTTCGACTCCGAATCCTACATCTCTAACCTTCAAACCCAGTCCTCTCTCGCTGCACTCAATTAATCTCAAGTTACTGGTATGTATTTTGAAACAATTAAATTTATTCTAGTATAATTTGTTGAAAATGGCTCTATTTAGTTGTTAAATGCTATAATTTCTCAAAAATTAAGCTACTATTTGTTTAATTAGGGTTTTCGTAAGTAATTGCTTCAATAATTCTGATGTCATCAATTTTGTTAAATTAATTTTGCATTTTTGCTGGTTTGATTGAGAGAAAGAGAACGATTAAGGTGAGCAATCTTCTTAATACTCTTCCTGTTCTACAGTCTTACCGTAGTACTACATTTTTTTTAATCTTATTTATGGTTTCCTTGCGTTTTGTTTAAATTTTTGTGTTTTCAATTTTTCTGATTCTGCTCAATTTTTTTTATTCTTTACTATTCAATTGATCTAAATGTATTGGCTGACGAGATCATTGAATTGTTTGTGAGCTAATTGCATCCCACCATCCCACTATTGAGTCTTCAGAAGCAGGTGCATGAGCAGTTGGTATGCTGGAACCTACAGGTTCTGCTTTTTGGCTAATACCTTGTAGTTTTTTTCGTAGTATCCTTTTTAACTTTAGTTGTTTAGTGTATGTTTGGCTTTAGGCTGTACTAGTTCTGTGGCTTTCTTTTTGGTGAATGTTTTATTTCACAGCATGCATATTCTCTTATGATTACCGATCTTCCACTGCTCTCCTTTTGAACACTTCCCTCTTTCAAACAAAAAATGAAATAGAGGGTCGTAATTGCTTGAAAACCAAACCCGATTTCCTCGGCTTTCTGTAATTCCTCAATTTTCACCCTTTGATTTGGATAATGAAGAGTCAATGATAGATTGATAGTAGTCTTAGTAGGTTCTTAATTTTTCTCTTCAATGTGAATTAAGGCAACGACACTTGAGCGATATCAATGTCTCATGCTTTGGTGTGTCAACCGGATTTATGGAAGTTGCTCACTAGGACAGTGATGTATCATACTATAGCATTTCTGCCTAACTTACTTTGCCTATTGAAAATGTAGAATAACATGCTCAGAAATACAACAAGGTTCAGTACACTTGTTGAATTGGTCCCCGCAAAACTATGAGGCTAGGGCGGGATGAAAATTAGAGGTAAATTTAGGTGCATGGATGCAAACTAGTGTCAAGTAAATCTAATAAGTCATAAAAATAATATGCCAAGAATTTGGGCATCTTAATATGAACATCTTGCATTCTTGTCAAACTTTTGGGACGGTAGGTAGAGCCAAGAAAAAATCTCTTGGTAAACCGCATGCTCAAAAGGTACTGTATATATTAGGCCCAGCTTTTTAGTTGAGGTTTCTAATCTTACTTAAACAAGTAGTATATCATATCGATGACTATTTCATGGTTTTTTTTTCTGTAAGTTCATGAGCTCATCAGAACACTTAGTCTTACATAGTTCAATATACTGTCATGTATGAGCTTGTGTCAGAATGTTGGAAAAAGATATTATACCTCCTGTTTTTATGCCTAGTTGGTATTTTAACTTGTCATGGCTGTCGTATGAGAAGAAATGGAGAATGCAACATGCATATAGAGTTACGTTGGTTCTGATGTTCTGATGTTCTGTACTTTTTGTTGATGCCTCTGTTTAGTATTATTGAGTCTGTGTTTGTTTACGTTGCATAAAAGTGGTTGCACTCGTACTGTACATCGTAATTTTTCTCTAGGTGTTTCGGGGTGCTGGTTGTTCGTGTAAGTTGTACCCTGTTGTAAGTACAATAGGATGCATTGTTCAGTAAATTAAGACAACTAATTTTCATACTGAAACTGAAGTTAACTAGCTACTTAGACTCTCAAGTAACGAGTTTCTTGCCTTTTTCATACGAACCCCTTAAAGACTCATTTCTAGTTGCTCTTCTAGAGATTGCAGCTCCTCTATGTTTAGACCGGAGAGCTTTTGTCCCATAAGTTGCCTGCCTTATCAGAATGGAAATGAAGTCCCTAAATAAGGGTATATGAACTCTTTGTTTTAACTACTCTTTTATATATTCATTGAACTACTACACCAAATCATAATTACCCAAATGCCTCTTAAGTTTTCTATTTAAGGCAAACAGTTTCCGCAAATATGGTTTATCTTGATTTGTATTGTTTATTTGATGGTGGCTCTTAAAATACTAGAAGAATGATTATACTTTGATATGGATTTTCACCTTCTTCATTCTGGTTAAAGCTATATCTTGTTTGAGATTGTTTTAGTAATAAAAAGGGTGAACTAAAATCCAGATTCTTCGGTTGTGCAGAAAGTTTGAGGGGTTTAGTATTATTTAGAGCTAGATTCTTCAAGTTGTGCAGAATTTGAGGGGTTCAAATTATTTAGAGCAAGATTCTTCAAGTTTTGCTGAATTCCTCTCTCAGTCTGCCACCTCCGACTGCGCAGCGGCGCCTTTGCGTTAATTGATAGCTCCAATGGCGTTTCGAGGTGTGGGTTTTCAATTGACAGCAACTATAAACTCGGATAAGCAGAGGTAAGCAATTTGAGTTAGTGGTTGCAGTTTGCTATGGTCTAATTGTAGCTTAATTGGGGTATTCTGGTTTTGCTTATGATTAGTTATTGTTGCTAATTAATCAGAGAGTGTTTGCAATTTAGTCTGAGCTAATTGTAATTTGAATTGGTAATTATCTATTTTGATTTATAATTAGGTTGCTGTTGAGTATTTCTAATTGTTTCATGCATTGTTTTTGGGTTAATAGTTTAGTTATTGCTGTTAAATAATCAGAGAGTGTTTGCAATTTAGGCTGACCTAAGTGTAGTTTGATTTTTTTTTTTAACTATAATAAATAGTTTACCGTTCAGGATTTCTAATTGTTTCATTCATTGTTTTTGGGTGGGTATGCGTTTAGCAAGGCCTTACTGGGTGATGCGGAACTCAAGTTTTGCTTGTATTTGTGGTGGGTGTGTGCTGCTTGGATTAAGATTGTTTTTTTTTGTGTGTGCCTACTGTCCTTTTTCTTTTGCTTTTGTGTCAATTGAGGTCGTTGCTTGCTGGATTTTTACTGTTTATGGTTGGTGATGGAAACTACTCTGTTGGAAATATGATTTAGAATCCCAATTTTGGGTAGAAAAAGCTTGGCCAGTTTTTAAGGCCTTTTCACATCTTGTCTTTTTCTAGGGAAGGAGTTAGCTTTAAGAGGGTCGGTTTACCCTTACTATATATATGACCACTCTCTTTTGAGTTGAGCTATCTGTTGTTATCTTCACTGATCAAGGTGGTTCAGGTAATGAGTTCTTGGAGCTTTATTTTGCTTATTCATGCTAATTGGTTTTTGTTATTGGACTTTTACTGGAAAAACGAGCTTGGTTTAAAGAACACTGTGACGAAAATGATCTTTACCTACATTGATTACTCAACTGGAACAAATGAATTGCAATTTAGATAATTAGAATATTTAAAATGTCTGATCTTATATACATTTCTGTGTAAATTAGCTTAATCGATTATTTGATTATAGTTTAGGCTTAAATAAGCTTGCCTATCATACTGTTGTTAGGTTTTCAGATTTATAGTTTTTATAATTAGCTATTGGTGAGTACATTTTGGATTTAAAATTCTCAGTATATGCCATTGTGCTGAAGAAAAGAAAAAATAATATGAATGTTCTTGGTTAAAAAGTGAACTTTGAATTTGTTTGTTGCTGTGTGAAAAATCGTGTCTTAGGGGGGAAAATTATATTAGTGGAGGCATCATTTTGGTTTGGTTCCCGATTTATAGATCTTAAAGTGACGGGTTTTGTTTGGTTTGTATTAATTGGATCATTGAATGGTACATACTTTAGGAGCATAATATAGAGGAAATGTTGGCTTGTGCGATGATGTATTGTTTATGAATGAGTTTCTTTACTGCCTGTTATAGTGAGTTGAGCAGAATTTTGTGTTGCTTGCAGGTGTTGTTGTGCTATATAACTTGGTGCTCGTTCTACTCAGATTTCCGCAGGTATATACTGTCCTTAGCGTGATCTGCTATATACATTCGGGTTTAGTATGCTCTTTTAATTGCCGAAAAGTAATGTTCTGATTATACTGAGAATTTGTATGTTATTCTGTTTACTTGTTTAATAATTTATATGTTATTCTCTTTACTTGTTTAATAATTTTGGTTTATGTAATTTATGAAAAACAAAATTCTAGGGTTTATGTAATTTATGAAAAACAGAATCCAGTAAGTTTCAATTTAAAATAATTTGTTTTCGACTTGTTATTGGATTCAATTCGTTTTGTTTCTCTTCTTCTTGTGTATTCAGGTAAGAAGCCGCTGGTTATACAATGAAAAATAAAAAATATCACCCCTCTGAGTGAATGGGCAGCGTATAATTTTCTTCACCCTAATTTGTATGAAGATGCTGAATTTACTTCTGAGATGAAGCGAAATTGGGTTTATAATTTGAGTATTCCTCAATTTTCTTACTTACTCTCCAAGATCCGCTCTCTTCATACTTTAATTTATAAGGATATAGAGCTTTCTTATAGGATACCTCATGCCTGTGATGTTTGGATTAAGAGACAGAATGACAGGTATGTTCTTCTCTGTCTTCTTTTTTCGTGTTTCACTGAATCGAATTTATTTTTGTATGCATTGATAAATGCTGTTTGTTTGATTGGTACACTTAATTTGTTTGTGCTTTAAGGAAATTTCCATACCAAGAGAAGCATGTCCGCCAACAGGCATCGATTCTTGGCAACTTGGAGGATTTTGGGGTTTTGTCTGAGCAATACTGTCAATCTGATCTCTCTGTTGTTGTTGAGTTTGGAGCTGGCATGGGTTACTTAACCCAAATATTAGCTGATTTTTATGGGATCAATAAGGTCTTTTTGGTTGAGCGTAAGGCATACAAGCTAAAGGTCAGTGTACATTAAAACACTTCTTTATGCTCATATAAGATGTAACTAAACTCATTATATTTATGCTCATATATCTTAGTATCTTAAACTTTAGGCTGATCGAAGTCTACCACAGATAGACAACTTAACATTGGAGCGTTTGAGAATTGACCGTAAGGTTTTCCTAAAACCTCATGTCTGGTTTTTTGAGGCCTTTATCCTCGTGTGAGCTATGTTATGTTTTTGTATAGTAACTTATTGTTGCATTACCTAGAAATATCCTCTTCTGAGCTTTGTTATGCTTTAGTACATAAAATAATCTATATGCATACAACATGATCATAAAACATAATTGACTTCAAAACCATACTATTGTTTTGTGATACAATTAACTAAACTTATTGTTGCATTACCTATAATTGTTGCTGAAGTGGCGTTAACCTAATTTTCATAGTGGAAATGTCTTTGTGAAAAACTTATTAACCTGTGTCATTATTAATACTGCTCTTATTTTCTTTTTTTTCTTTGGGGTTCAGCATCCTGATGATTTACTTAATCCCCACCCTTGCACCTAGAGGGGCAGAATAACACGTAGTATATATTGTCCTTAGCGTGATCTGCTATATTTAGTATCTTTGAATGTTAAACCTACCATACACAATGAATTCAGTTTACTTTCTCTACTATTAATCAGATATCAAATGAAATTTGTATGAGGCTTGACTCTCCTTCAGTTAAGTCGCTTGGGTAGGCTAATTGATGCTTTCATACTGTGTTTTGTCCATGTTATTTATAACCAGAATTCCAGCTTACTTGCAGGAAGAAATTGGAAATAAAGATTTTAACTGCATATGTTCTTGACAAGATATGCACAAGGTTACTACAAGATTGTACGAAGTATAGTGACTAGCCATCTAACAAATGGTGCATATATGTTGGCGACTCTTATTCAAGTTCCGGCTTTGTGAAGATTTGGATATTTCGGCTTATATATATGTTGACAATTTGTATTTTGTACGATCAAATTAATTATCTAACTTTTATTTATTATTAGTACGGTATGTTATATCAAAAATAGGCAAGTAATATTTTGTAATGTACGTATTTTGCATTATAATTATTATATATAAATGATACTTTAATTTGTTTATGTTAGTATATTTAGATTTGTACCGACTAATTAATATTATATTACCATTCCATCCCAACAAAAAAAAACCCAATGATCAATCCGTTGCAGTAGATACGTACTCCTACCATTGTATTAATTAGCTTCATCCGTTGCAATAGGTTCAATTTCATCATAATTATTAGTCAGTACTCTATTGCCACGGATAAGTTATGCCGTTGCAATAGATTCAATTTCATCATAATTATTAGTCAGTACTCTATTGCCACGGATAAGTTATGCCGTTGCAACAGGTATTGGTCTATTGCCACGGATCAGTGGTGCCATGGCATTAGGTGTCATAAGCCGTTGCATTAGACCTACTGCAACGCCAGCAGATGCCACGGTACATGGCCGTTGCATTAGGCCTAATGCCACGGATTTTGATGCCTAATGCAACGGATTTAGGGGTTGCAATAGATCAAAAATGTAGTAGTGTATCTATGTGTCTGTGCAGGACACCATGGCCAGAATTCAACGAACTACAAGGGTGACGAACTCGGATGGCTCCTCCTTTTATGCGTCTGTCAGTGAGTTATCTGACGTGTCGCTTGGCGCCCCAAGCACCCCCAATGATTCCATTTTAGAAGAATCAGGGGAGGAAGTTCAAAATGACATTCCGGGCTCTATTGATCAAGCCCTTCAGGCGGACCATAGGTCCTACTGCTCTGACAGTGAACTTGAAACAAGCACCTTAGGCAGGCCGTCTGACGCCTCTAAGGAGTTGCGCTCTCGGCTGGAAACACCGAGAGAGTCCCATGCTATGGAGAAGGGAGACGGTTGGGCTAAGCCGGCTGCTAGTCGGCGAAATATGTATGCCGCCTATTACTGTCATGTTCCCGCAGGCAGGCGGAAGACCATGTTTGAGACAATAAGTAGCTTTAAGGACAACCATATTATGGGTCATGGTTACATCCTTTAGGTGCCGGATGCCGAGGACACCGTAGTCTTGCCAGAAGGGGCCAGCTACGGGGACGAATGCTTTGGTGTTATGAGGCGGCCATTAAGGCTGGTGTTCGATTTCCCTTACATCCGACCATAGAGCGGATTTTGGACGAATACCAGCTGGGTGTCTGGCAACTTGCCCCTAATTCTTGGTTTAACATTCTGGGGTATGTTGCCGGCTGTGAGATGATGAGTGTGGATCCAAGCTTTGAGGCTTTCGCCTATATGCACTATCTCAGCAAAACCCCAGAAACAAGTGGTGCCGACTGGTACACTTTGTCTAACCACAAGGGCTATATGATGACAATAGGGAAGGAGAACAAGTGGAAAGACTAGAGAAACAAATTTTATATAGTCTCCTGCCCTGACAAAGTGAGAAATAAGAAGTACAACAGGTGGAACCGCAATCCACCTCTCCTAACAGGCGCCACTGAAAAGCCGCCTGTTCCAAGAAAGGCAAAAGAGGAGATCCTTGACCAGGGTCTCTTCTAAGTGGACATTCAGGCGAATGCCGAAACAGAGGCGAGAGAATTCATCCCCCAAAGTTACATTCCTCGTCATGAATGGCTTTTTTACGGGGACTATTTGGTCGCCTGCGGTCTTAGTATTGAGAAGCCGAGAGGTAGTTGGCCGAATGTTTTTACAATTTTTGTTAGACTTAGCTGTTTTTTGTACATCTTATCTAACCAATTTGAAATCTTTTTGCAGACAAAGCAATGGAAAGATTTCCGGCCACCAAGAAGCCTGCCGCCTACTACCGCTCCCTTCTGGGCAAGCGATCTGTGGAAGAGTCGCATGCCAAGCAGGCGTCTAAGGTGAATTTCTTTTAACTTTGAACAAGTCTTATTTAGCTTTTCTGTCGCCTGCTTCTTACTTATTATGGTTTTTGTTGCTGGGCAACTCAGCAAAGCCTTCCTCCTCCTCACAGTCGGATCCTAAAATTAGGAAACAGGCAGCTGGTGACGTGACGACTCCTGGGAGAGCCAGGAAAGATGTGGCCAACAGGCCAGGAAGGACCCTTCCTCCAAGTGGGGGAAAGTCCACAGTCATCCCAGAGAGCAGCCGGCCTCCGAAGGAGGGAGAGGTGACAGAAGGTATCAATTGTTCAAACCCCTTGCCGTACCCTTGTTGGGTTAAGTTTAATCAGCAGTCGGCAAGCACTTCTGAAAGTAGTTGGTCTATTGGCCGCATTTATACCAAGTACTTACAGAGTATTAATTGTGCAGATGCCCCTCAAAGGTCGGATCTTCAACAGCTGGTCAAGTCCATGCTGAGAGCCATCTCTCTTGAGGACAAGGAGGCTGTTAGAGGAGTCGGCGCCCTAAACCTGGATGCCATCCTCGCTCTTCTGACTGAGGTATACTTGTGATTAAATTTTTTTTGCTTATACAACCTTTGAGTCGCCTGTAACTAACGTATGCTTTTTGGCCGAGTGCAGTCTATGCTGAGAGTGCACGGTCTCCGCAGGCCCATAAACGAGAAGAACAAAGTGGTAAAGTCTGCGAAAGCTCGGGCCGCCTCCGCTCTAGACACGGCTATGTTTCAGATTGCTCAAAATGAACTTCTGACTACTGACATACTGTATTATCAGGCGGTTGCCAACTTGCAGGTCAAAACTGATTTAGAGGTGGCTAAGAAGAGGATCTAAGAGCTGGAGACGTCCGTGAAGGACATCAAGGCTCGGCTTGGGTCCCTCAAAGAGGCGGACAAGGAGGCAGAGGTACTCTGCTCCCGGGTGGACAAGCTCAAGGCCTGCCTGCAGAACCAGGAGGTCCAACTCGCCAAAAAGTATAAATCAAGGACCGAGGAGGAAGGAGGCCCTAGTCAAGGATATGATGGACGACTGCAATGCCATCATGAAGATGACTTGGGGGGCTCTCTTTCCGGAGACCAGCTACAAGAGCTAGGAGAGTCAGTTCACCGCCTCTTCCAAAGAGTACAATGATCGAATCATGAACCAAGCCCTAGAGGGTGAGGGAGAGGAGGATGAGGAGTCGTCTGATTCTACCTTAGGGGAGTCAGACCAAGAGGAGGAGAAGGCGGATGCCGAAAAAGAGCAACAGCCGACTGGGGAACAAAAGGATGCGGCTGCTGATACTGAACAACCCCTTCCTGCTGCTTAAGCCTTTCTTGTTTTTATTCCAACTTTCTTCGGCCTGCGTGTCGTATGCTCTGTTTGTATCTTTACCGGCCGAGGGGTCGAGTTTATTGAGAATTTTAATTCTTTTTTGTCGATCATCTGGCCGACTGTTTATATGAATCATCCGGCAATTTTGGCCGGCTTCTCCAATTTGCACTTGCTTTTTTCATGAATGCTTATTTCATTATACCGACTGTTCTTGCCCCTAGGCGACTGTTTGCCTGGTTTTCAAAGGTGAATTGATTGACTTGGGAATTTTTGATACTTTAAGGAATATGACTAATTTCCAAGTCAATCAATCACTATGGTGATTGCCCCAAACCAGGTGTTCAGTCGGCCAATGCACAGGCAAACATACAACATTATCCGGCTCTCGACCTCAATATAGTTCTTTAGACAAATCACGCTTAGCTACTAAGTTTTGTACTTAGTTTTTATTGATTGTAAGTTGTCCGTTTGTTTGGTACCTGTACAAAAACAGGCGTCAAACGAGACGTGTAACCAAAGTAGCAACCGCTTGTTGGGTCACAGGCGGTAGCTTTTATTGTTTCGCTAACCTAAATAGGAATAGTGGCCGAATACTATCTGTTTGTCAAAAAGACAGGCGGCTTTGTTCGCCCTGTTTAGGTTCCACTTTAGGTTATTCTGGTCAAGAGACTATGAGCTAACCTTTGGGGTTAATCAATATTTGTCACTTTGTTTTGAGTGAATTGAAGAAACAGACAGCCGTTAGCCGCATGTTGTTTCCTTCACAGGTGCTAAGCTTTAGACTTAGCTTATTACTCAATTAGCTTATATCCTCAAATTTAGCCGACTGTGTTACCCCTGAGTAACAACAGTCGGCATCCGACTCAGATATTATAGATTATCGCATGCTTTTAGAGCAATTAGTAGTATTTGTTATCCTTATCTCATTTGATCAGTTCACATAGCAATATGCCACCCAAATAGGAGATGCTCTCTGCGACGAATTCACCCAAATGGATGTCGCCGGACGGCTGCTCATGTTGGGACAGACATATTGTTTTAATTTTATATCATCCGGCCATTGGCCTCAGTAGGTTGTTAAAAACAACAACACATAGCCGCTAAGTTTTTTAGACTTAGCTTAAATTTGCTCATGTTGGAGCAGTAATTTGAAATATTAAATAAGGCCGCTTATACATTATACAGACAATACCATGAGAGAAATAAAAGTTAATAATTCAACTTCCATTGATACTTAGGTAAAATAAGATTACAAGTCTTAGAAGTAGTACTTTTTCAAGTTGTCTACGTTCCAAGTTCTGGCTTGCTGCCTACCGTCTGGTGTTTCCAGGCGGTAGGTGCCACCTCTTAATTCTTCATAGATCCGGTAGGAGCCTTCCCAATTGGGAGTCAGCTTTCCTTACTCATTGGCCCTACTAGTCGCCTCCATTTTTCATAGCAAAAAGTCCCCTACTTCCAAGGGGCGCTTGTGCACTCTTTTGTTGTAAGCTCTCGTCATTCTCAGACGGTAGAACTCATGGCACAAGGAAGAATTGCCCCTGCGCTCTGGGAGTGAGTCCAGTGCTAGCCGCATGGCCTCCTAGTTAGCCTCCTCATCATATAACATGACTCGAAGAGTTGGCTCGTAGTGCTCAATAGGTAGAACAACTTCTGCACCATAAACCATGAGAAATGAAGTTTCACCCATCGCCCCTTTTCAGTCTATTCGTCAGCCCATAGGCTGCCAGCTCTTTCTATTTTCTTCTTAATCCCTTATGAGATTAAATTATTGAAGGCTTCAACCTGGGCGTTAGCTTGAGGACGGCCGACTGATGCAAAACAATGAGAGATCCCTTGGTCTCTCAACCAACTCTTGAGAGCAGGCGTCTCAAATTGAGGACCATTCTCAAAGACCATAGACATGGGTACCCCATACCGAGTGATGACATTTCTCCAAATGAAGGAGATAACATCTTTGGTCTTAATGCCTTTTACCGC